TGTCCACGTAATGGTGCCCACGTAATGGTGTCCACGTAATGTTGTCCACCTAATAGTGTCCACGTAATGGTGTCCACGTAATGGTGTCCACCTAATAGTGTCAAGATAATTGTGTGTGATAGAATCAAAAGTTACTGTTGAAAAAATTTTATAAAAGTTGATGTAAACATAAATATCAAAAAACTGTATTAGTTTACTATGAAGACGGGGAAATAGTTCAACATAATGGTGCATGTCACGTGCAGCAAAAAGGTTTTCTTGTGGATAAGGATATTCAACTTTTGGAAAACGCGTCAGTTCAAAGTCCTGATCTCAATATAATTGAAGCAGTTGGGTGCCCAATAAAAACAACTCAATCTCGAACAGCTTTGGAAATACCAGCGCTAATATTATCTGACTATTGCATATATGGCTATTTATCCGAATAAATTTCGATAAACGTTTTTCCCATTTTAAGAAGGTTACCATAATAAACATTGAAGTAACAAATTCTTAGCACTTTTTTAGCTACTCAATGTGATATTGATTATTTAGAAATGCTAAGTTGGTGCAATGACACAAGAATGGAACTCCAATTGTGTATTGAACTGACTACAGTAGTCTATACCGATTTCATTATCGATCGAATATATATATATATATATATATATATATATATATATATATATATATATATATATATATATATATAATGAAATGAACTGAGAAAGATATACTTCAGTATAGTCATTTATTGTCGCTTTTCCTTAATTTTCCATGGCGATTAATAAAAGAAAACAGAAGCTGGATAAAGAAAATATGCAAATTTAACTTGAATGACGTCAACGCAGCAAAAAGATCAGAATTTCAGTCATGGATTTAATTTATTTCTTAATCCGACATATATTCATATGTTATTTTTTACTGGATACCCGTATTAGAGTTGATACATTCTTTATTAATTAAACAGAATATTCATTTATTTTCATCTACCGGCCTGAATATTCGAGAAATAAAAGGTTTTTAAAAAAGTATACGCTCTCAGGCAGGATTCGAACCTGTGTTCCCCCAGGGGGGAAACGTTCATTAGATTTGACTTGCTTTGACTTTTCAGCTACAGAGAAACTGATGACCAAACAAAGCCCCAATTTTTTTTCGAAATATACAGGGTGCGATGAATAAATTGTCGTGTAAATGACGCAAAAAAAAAAAAATAAATAAAAATCACATTTATTTTAACAGATATATTTACCAAAATTACAGGAAAATATCTTGAAAATACATTTATTGGCTTCAACCACGTCCTCCAGATGACTTCGGAATCTTCCGCATCTCTTCTGGACGGTCTCCTTGTTTAATGCTGCCATAATCCAATCCTTCACTTCATCTTCAGTGTTACAAGGAGTTTTATTATTCCTTGCTCAACTGCGTCCCATAAGTAATAATCAAGGGAACTGCAGTCTGGGGAGTTAGGTGGCCATATGTAATATGTGATATGGTCGCAGAAATTGTCTAACAACCATGGCTGGCCTTCTTGCTCGTGTGGCATGGTGCATAATCCTGTTGCAAGATATAGGGTCTTCCAGCAGTCACCCTCTATACCCAGAACAGCACTACCTTCTTAAGCCACTTGATGTAGGTCACCGTGCTGAGTTTGAGGCCCTGACCAACAAATTCGAGAGTTCTTTTCTTAACATAACGATGTTTTCCGAGCTGACGTACCTTCGTAATCACCATTAGACTCATCCAACTCTTTCCAAATCCTCTGAAATGTCCTCTTATTGACATCCAAACACTCTGAAACGTTTGTATTGGAGCGTCCGACACGAATGCCAAGCTGTACAACATTCCGTTTCCAAATTTCTGGCGAATTGAATTGCTTTATGTGGTTCATTTTCTCACAGTCGGTGCCTAACTGACCCTCCTATAATATGCTGTCAAATTCAAAAACAAACAATGCGCATGCGCGAAATTAAAGATATAAAATGGTGGAAATTTATCCATCGTACCCTGTACATATTTGCTCAGATTCGTATACCAAACTAAAGAAAGGAATTTTAGGAATGGATTTTTTCATTTATTAATTCGACATTTTTTTTTTACTTTATTGAAAATAAAAAAGAAAAAAACAATATATTTTATAATAAATAATAGGGTCAGGTTACTCCTAGCACTACTAGTACCATCTAGCCCAGTACTGCCTTTTTCATATCGGATTATCGGCGACTTAACAGCTACCCCCACAGAATTTATCTGTGTTAATGGTGACTAGTCACCCTGCAGAATTAAATACAAAGTCAAACTGCGGTGGAAGTTTCTTGCTCAACGTCCATCTACCACAAATTCCCTGGTAGTTTTGGACTTCATCATTTCTTTAGCCATTGTCTAAGAGAAGGGCCCTCTGTAAAACCTAAGATCCGGGGACTTCACAGTCATCGCCCCAGTTTGCTAAGCTATAACAGATCAAATCCCTGGTGGAAAAGGCCATTTCAGCGCACACTGCACTTTACCTAATAACGTCACTACGCAGGCCTAAGGGAGACGTTTCCAAGCCCTGTAGCGATGGGAAAGTGGCGAAAGCAGCAGGGAGAAGATGACACTGGAAGTGGTTGTCCCAATCATGCATACAGGGGTCAGGATACTGATATTCTGATGTTGACATGGGGACGATAACATTGTTTACTAACTCTCTGATTGACCAAGCAGCCTCGTTTACGGACAGCCCTGCTTGCTCCATAGAAGCCTAGAAAAGATGGTCTGAACAAAGTTCATCACCTACATTACCCAGTTCACTAACCGCGGTCAACGTGCTTCTTCTCATGTGGTCGAACATCAGTAAAGAAAAGATTGACACCCTCCTGTAAGGGTATCAAAGAGCTACTTGTAGCAATCAGAACCATGCTGGACACACCCGTCAGTGGTCGAGCAGAACGTCGCTCGGCTCTAATTACAAACTAACTATCAAAACAGTTGACATTGCTTCTCTCAGTGAAGTTCGTTTCCCAGATGGAGGCAACATACAAGAGCACAGTGCTAGATATAAACTCTACTGCTCAGACAATTCAGTAGTAGCTGCCTTACAGACTTATGTTTTATTATAAGGAATTCCATTGCATACAAGATTGAAAACCTGCCAACTGATTATTCTGACCGCACCATCTCTATGCGCCTACTACTGAGTAATCTTCACTATGCCAAACTAATTAGTGCGTACTACCTAAATTTATAAGCATATCCCGTGGGAGAAGATAAATTTTACTCAGATCTGCGCAGCCTACTACGAGACACCCCAGCAGACGATAAGGTTATACGCATTGGCGATTTCAACGCCAGAGTGGGCTAAGATGTTGCGGCTTGGAAGTAGAATTTTGGTAACTGTAACGAGACTCTAGCAAACTGTAGGAAACGTCTTGTAAACTGTGGGAAACGCCTTGCTACTAGAGTTCGACGCAGAGCATCGGCTTATCATCACGAAAACCATCTTCGAACAGAAAAACATATTGAAAACAACATGGATGCATCATCAGTCTAAACATTGGCACCTCATTTACTATGTCATAGTGCACCAACGTGACCTGAAGGACATTATGCTAACCAAAGTGATGCCCAGTGCATAATGTCATACCGACTATCAAACGATGAAAAGTAGGGAACCTCTGTAAAAACTTCAAGGTTTGTAGTTTTCTCTCGAATGAAGTGAAGCTGCCAAGCAGCGATTGAGAGCATCCCCACAGATTCCTTTCTTGAAACACTTTGTGAAAAACTCAAAACCGGCATTCTGTAGACATCTGTAGATGTTCTTGCATCCTCCTTAAGAAAGAAGAAAGACTGATTTGATGATAGCAACGTGGTAATCCAAAAACTGCTGATGAAGAAGAAGAAGAAGAAAGACCTCATCAGGCCAACTTAGCTCAGCCAGCTTGTCATATAAAGAAAGCGGCGTTCCGTTTCATATGCTGTGACCTCCAACGCCGGATACTAGCGATTAAGAACAGGTAGTGGATCAAACTCACTGAAAAAAAAATCAGCTGTCTGCAAACACTTGATATATCAGGGGCTTCTATGAAACTTTAAAGGCATTGTACTGTATTTTATCAGGTCCAGAATCATATGGACAATGCAGACGGTCAGACGCTCCTTACATAAAAGGCGTTCATCCTAAACCACTGCTCGGAGAATTTCCAGTCTCTTTTCAGTGCTAATCGCTCATTTCAAGAACCAGCAATTCTCTGCATTCCCCAAGAACCAGTAAAACTGGAACTAAATGAGTTGCCCATCATTGAAGAGGCTTTCGGAGCCATAAAACAGCTGAAGGGTGACATAAAAGCAGGAGTCGATGGAATCGAAACTGAAATCTGGAAACACGGGGGTTCGGTGTTGCATATAAAACTCCACAAGCTCTTTTACTGATGCTGTCAGAAGAGAAACATACTACAAGATCGCCGCGTTACCGTCGTCATTGTCCTGTAAAAGGGTAAAAGTCTGACTGATTCAATTACCCAGGGATTACTCTGCTCTCTTTTGCAGTAAAAATCATTGCCAGAATTCTGCTGAACAAACTGGTACCCACCATCGCTGAAGAGCATCTTCCAGAGAGTCAGTTCGGCTTCAGAACCAACAGGAGAACAACATATATAGTGTTTGTTTTCCGACAGCTGCAAGAGAAGTATCGGGAGCAAAACAAGGGGCTGTATGTGGCATTCGTTGATCTGACAAAAACATTCGAAACAGTGGGCAGAAAGGAAATGCGGCAGATCATCTAGCCTCTCGAAAGTTCTTGAACATGGTCATCCATTCTTCTTGAGGGTCAACGTTGCCAAATTAGACACAACAGTGATCTCTCAGAGCTCTTCATGCTCATCAACGATTTAAAGCCGGGTTGCGTTCTGGCACAGACCCTCTTCGCTATTTTCTTCAGCATGATGATGCTCATAAATCCACGAAAGTTATAAATGCTGGGGACGGAGTCTACATCAAATAGCGTCTCGATGATGACCTGTTTAATCTTGGACTTGGTCAGTTTAAAGAAGACAGAGGCACTCTACCAGCCTGTGCCACGGGATGAGTATCGCCCTCCCGACACCATCATTGCCGCGACTGTACTGAAGGCGGATAATCGGTTTACCTACCTTGGACGGGATCGGCAATGAGGTAGACAAGAAACTGGCAAGGGCCAACATTGCATTTGGCAGATTATACGTGTGTAGTACAACCGACACCTAAAGAAGAGCAAAAAGATCGGAGTAGATAGAGTTATCATCTGCGCCACTCTCCTATACGGCTCCGAACCGTGGGTCACTTACCAGCAACACCTACGACTGCCTTCTCAAGATCCTTAGTATCCACTGGAGGGACTTCATCACGGTCACCAGCATCGAGATCATGCTGCTGAAATCCCAGCTACGCTGGCCTGGAAGCCTTTCCAGGATGGAGGATCATTATCTGCATACAATTTCACATTACGGCGAGTTCTCCACTGGCTATGACCACAGAAGGGCACCAAAGAAACGATTAAAAGATTCCCTGAAAAAAATCTTTGGAGCCTGTCACATCAATCATTTCCAATGGTCAGACCTAACTGAGAAGTCTCCTCCTTTGAAAATACCTGCAGGGCCGCTCTCAAGAACAAGAGGCAGAGGAGGAAGTATTGCTACGCTATGCCATCGAGCCGAGGTCGGACATTCAGTTGCAACTTCTGCGACCGTGCATGCCTGTCCTGCATTGGGCATCACTCACAAACGTGCCTACAAGCAACATGTACAGACGCCTTCTTGATCTTCGTTTTGCGAAGACAAGCCATGATGATGGAAATAAATAAAGAGAATATTTATTCAAATACTGGTATACGCTACAAATAACATTTTAGTAAAAGAAATAGATAGATAGATAGATAGATAGATAGATAGATAGATAGATAGATGAACCAATAGATAGATAGATAGATCGATAGGTGAATAAATCCAGATAGATAGATAGATAGATATATCAAGAGACATAGATATAAAGAAACAGATTGATAGAAATAAATTGAAATAGATAGATCTATAGATATGCGTACATTAATATTTCAGACTGCTTAAATCAGTTATAAATATTTAATCAGTTTAGTCAATTTTGGGAACTGCATATTACGTAGCTCGAATTCGTGGCTAAAATTTTAGAACCGATCTAAAAGTTGTGAAGCAAGAATCGATATGATTGGCAATAACCCGCCTAATGCCCACTGAATCTTGTTCATTCTAAGGCGATCATGTCAACTTCGTCGGTGTCGGAGCTGTGGAGAGTTCGCCTCAGCAATTATGAAGAAAGCGCTCTGTAACCCCACCACCACCCCTATTACTCCACGTCACCCATCCCACGGCAGAGACAAAGCAAAATATTGAAATATTGCAATCATCACTCAAATGGGAGCGTCTACTTTAATTTCGTTCGCTTGAGCATAGATATTTATACTGCGTTAACATTGTCTGTTTTACAAGTAGAAGACAGCAATTTCTGCCGGGGTAAAATTGGTGCTTTCTCTTAAGTCAAAGTGTTAAAATACTGAGAGCTGATTGATTGGCAGACTGTTAGAGAATACTTGACGTAAAGCGATGTATCGCAAGTTGATTTCATCGTCTTTTCCTGATTTCACTCTTTTCTCCTCATGTATTTTATTTGCTTTCTGCAAATGTTTCGGGAGCTTTCTTTTAACTAACAAAAACGTTTTCTATTGTGTATTTAATGTGTTATTTTTCTAAGGAAAGCGCACGTGCCAAACATTATGGTACCCTACGGAAATACGCCAAGTGAATTTCCGTTTCTCACTTACAAACGACATAAATCTATATTCTTTATATATATATTATGCCTTTTAAATTCCATGAGGAACATAATGCCGCAAGATAATTTTGCGAATTCTATGACAAGCCAGTTTTTAAGTGAGTAAGTTGTTACACTACTACACAACTCCCAAACTGGAGGATTGATTTCAAAGTTGTCAAAGAAAGGATTCATACTTTTCCCGAGAGTATTAGTACATAAGTGAATGTAATTTGAACTCGGCTCTCCGATTCCTCAAACCTAGACGCTATCCATTACTCTACCATGCGTTATATATATATATATATTACCTTTAGCGGGAATGCGTGTTTGATTTGAAATTCTTTTCGATTTTTTGAAATTGTGAAATTGATACCAAGCGACTTAGATCGAAAAGTATCACTAAAGGGAATCCACTTAAAAATGTTTATACGAATAAAATACTTCCATTATTCGGACTGTTATCTTCATCGCACACTCCAACCTTCTTCAGGTGATTGGAATTTCGAACCAAACCCTTTATTTCGTTCTAGTTCCACGTCACTTACCGGATGTCTCAATTATATCCCTTTAACTAAACTCTCCAACTTTATGTTTACCACTGCTGTGGCCTGGTATTGAACTCAAAACTCTTTGTGTCTAGTCACTGGATCTAAACCACGTCTTTATCCACTGGGCCATCAGTGGATAAAGACGCTGGTTTGATTGTGAATATGGTAATGAAGATGAGGATAACAGCCCGAATAATGTAAATATTGCAAGTAATCATAATACCTCATCTCAGAGATATAGAAGCCGAAATGTTGTGAATATGGCAATGGAGATGAGGATGACGGTCCTAATAATGTAAATAATGCAAGTAATCATAAATCACATCTCAGAGATATAGACGAATAAAAATAATGTTAAAAATCATTTATTATACCATATACCTATATCTGAAATGATTCTTTTACTATGACGGATTTTTCTGTAGTCATCATCTTAATATTTTTACCTTCAATCAGCGTGGATGGTGCTAACCTCCAGGGCAGTGCCTCTCTACACCTTCTCGGGTTAATATTTTCGGCTCACATAAAGTTGAAAGGCTATACTGAATCCATTGCTAAGTCAGATGCTAAGGAATTTGGTTCCCTGACTCTTATTAGACAATTTTTCGTTTCATAATCGATCCTACATATCCATAATTTTACCATTCTCTTAGAATATTACTGCCACATATTGTCTCGTGTTCTTACTATTTATCTCAAGCTCCTTGATAAAATCCAAATAAAAATAAGGAATATTTTTACTCCTGTTCCGGCGTCTAGGCCTCAGTCATTTTCTCACCGCCGTAAAATTGCCTCCCTGTGCCTTTTCTAAAAATGTGGGGAAAATTGTGAAAATGGCTTACCTCGGAAACGCGTCCGAATCTGTGCAGTGTGCAAACTTCGGTCCTCCCAACGGTAAAAGGAACCAAAATGGCGGCGCCCATATTTTATGCCGGGCGGTCTCGGTTAGTTAACGCGAAATCTCGTTGTCTCGTTATTCGCATGCAAATCGTGGTCGGTCCTCGGCTGTATAAATCAGGCTCGTTTTGCTGTTTCAGCTCAAAGAGCTTTCGGCTCGTGAGAAGGTTGGACGTGCGACACCGGTTTCTTTGTTCCTACCTGCTATCATCAGTTGAGTTGTTGCGTTACCTCCCACAATGCAATGCTAAATTTTTGGAATAGCTCTTCGCTATGGTACCTAGGAGTTATGAATTTAATAAGCGTAGTACGAGATCTAAAACTAGGCCTCATAGAAAATAGACGTAATCATAACTTCTATGCTAACAGTTTCTGTTCTTGCATTTCTCGCTTGTGAAAGTCTCTGTCGGATTCTGGCTTTTCAGTAAACGTTAATCTTCAAAACTTTCAATGCAATGTCAGTCGTTACGTACTGTCTTCCTGATTACTCTTCTTTTTCTCCTGATACTTAGTTACGTTTCTGCTTTCTAATTCTTTCACATCCAGTAATTCTTTATGTCTTACTGTCTTGCTCCGGGCGAATCTGATAAAAAGAGGTGGATGTTTCACTCTTTATCAAGCGTGAAAAGTACCCTTAACTAAACTTAATGGCGCCGCGAATCGTGCAAGTCTTCTTAGATTTCCCTGTTTGTACGTTTTTTCTGAAATTTGATAGCTGACCGATTCGTAGATAAATATATGTAGTATTTTGTATTCAGAGTGTAGCACATGTTCGAAAACATTTATTTTATTAGCCCATTCACTGCCAACCCAAAATTGTGTAGTCATTTTGGGCTAGTATTTTTTTTCTCTTTAAAAATATTTTTCCAAAATAATATGTATCAAAGTTTTAAAGCTAGTATTTTATTGAGGAAAATGATTGTAAATATTTTTTTCTAACTTCAGAAGCCATATCACAAACTTATGGTGATGGATACTTTCTTGGGTGCATAATATTTAGTTTCGGGTTTTCCAAATGATATATACATTTTCGAACAATTAGATTCTTCAAGGCGAATAACGAAGCAATATTATTTGCTATAAATGTGATTTGACACTTATTAAATAAATTACGCCAATGTCACCATATATTGGCGACAAAATTAATTCTGCCAATATTACTAATAGTTGAATTAATATTTTTTTTTGACTGAGATTTATTTTTATATCTTCTATACATTTATAAAAATTCAGTTAAAAGAAGAAAAGTGCGATCTGCATTTTTCCAACATTTCACTGGAAGTCACAGACATGGCTGTACATAGAAATATACATAGAGTATCTCCAGGGTTTGAGGAAGCAACATAAAATGAATATATAAGGGTCCCCAGTAAGGCACCCCGACGTGGCGTAATGGTTAGCAAGTTATCTCGCTAGAATAACTACTAATTAATAGTGAGTTCGATGCTCATCGATAACGAAGCAATATTATGTATATAAATGTGATTGCCCCCATAATTTCGGCCTTGTGCCACATCAATGCTACGCTTTAAAAAAGGGAACCTCGAGGCGACTGAGAAGTGAGTTCAATCCTCACTGAGTGCCCCCTTACCTTCAGCCTTGCGCCACATCTAAGCTACGCTTTGAAAATCACTATAAGCGTCACCATTATCTGGAGACGCAGCGCAAACTGAAATGTTATGTCACGAATGTATGATGACATGGCACTCAATCTTTTTAGTAATTAAATGAGGGACCGGTTGGGAACAACAGGTTCTGTAAGCCTGGATGTGCAGGTGGTGTAATGGCTCGAGAGCCATTTAATTGTTAATTGGGCGGGGTGCCTGTTACAATTCCAGTTGGGTTCGTTATATTCACTTAGGCGAAAATACCCTTGGGAAAGCTATAAATCCACCATTTCTGTCCCCAGCTACGGGTTAATTAGTTACTGATGTCTCACTAAACCATTATTATCTCCAAAAATAAAATAATTACGTACAAAATATTTAGATTTCATCATTCAATAACAGAGGTTGATATGCCGCTAAAACAAAAAAAAAACTAACCAAATAAAAAAGATAGAAATTGTCTTGATTTTTAGATGAGGATTTATTATTATTTACACCATTTACAAACTCGTATGTTTGCTGCTGTTATCACAAACTTTTTACATTTGTGCCTCTGGCTTTTATCAGATATATTCCGAACTGAACTATTTATTTATTCTCCTTTGGCCGATTGCCCATATCTCTTTATTTGTTATACAGTAATTGTTCACGGTCTTTCCTCTGAGTCCAAGTACACATTGCTCGGAATTGAATTCAGAATGAATACGTCACCAAATTCACGAACCAGCGCTTTATGCCACTAGGCTATTCTCAGGTAGAACAATTCGCTGAGGAGAACTTGGAGACTTAAAACTAACCTTCCTGCTGACGAGTGCATTTGGGGAAATACTACTGCTTCTGTAAATAAAGAGGCAGAAAGTGGAGATCGCTCACAGCCTAAAGAAACACAGCATGTAAATAATGTGGACAAAGCAATTCGACACATTGACGACTATTTCGCAAAATAAATTCTTTATAAATGTATGCAGTCTCTATATAGTGGGTTTAATAGCAAAATTGTCCAAATTGTGTATACAGCAAAATTAGCCAATTAGATTAAGCTTTCAACCGTTGTATCTTAGAAATGCTTAAAGATATCTTAGTGGAATTTCCTGATGTTTGTAACACTATTGGGCTCTACTTTGAGCAATAAGAGTGTATAATTACTCTCCAAACTTAACAGAAGAATCGTGATGAAATCGATCAT